TATCATAGCATTAGAAATAGAAGTTGCAAACTTCATTCATAAGTCATTAGTCACTTTAAAGATCAATCCACATTCAGGGTCTTCCAGACCTTATTAAAAAAATAGCCCAATGACCAAACAGTTAGCATAATTTTGTCATGTACTACTACTGGAGTACAATACGATCATTGACAATGAGATCCGCATACACCAAATATCCTTCAGGGATTCACTTAGGGTTTATAGATCCTTTTAGATCAAATATCTATAATCGAGGCCTTGAGGGAAGATAAAGATAACGGGTGACTGATAAAATTAGTGCTCTTGATTTACCTTCTGGGTAAAATTATATTAAAAAAAATTAGACACTATCATTTTGTTTAAATACTCCAATTTACGATTTATTCTAATGCCCAAGACTCATGTGAAATAATTTCTATAGCAAATTAGCAGCAAATTAGCACCATCAATTAACTTTTAAAACAATACAAAGCCAATTTTACATTGGGGAAACTGCCCTAGTGCTGATGTTTTTAATTTGTGCTATGACTTGTTGCCTTCTGGGCAATGCTATGTTTAAAATTTTGGCTATAATCACTTGTTGATCAAGATAATCCTTCAGGGACAGTCATATAATAAGTGCTTCATTTCTGGGCAAATATTGCATGCAGTTATGCAAGTTCCCATTAAGAAAAATCTTATTACCAAATATGGCCTATAGCAACTAATTATTATGTCAAATTTTCTTTCATGATTCACATGACCATATTGCATAAGAGAGTAAATTGTGATACAAAATAATTGTCACATAACCTTCATAACAATTACCATGTAATACATGAAATGATAATTTCTAAAATGCCATGATTATCACAATATTTTATGTTTCAATCATGCTCTCAAAATTTTAAGCATCAACGGGATGCAAATGCGTATGGCATATAACCCTCTTAGCCAACATACATGATCACTCATCAAAGTTTAATCATGAGACAAAAATAATCTTCAAGCATATATATGATCACACACATGATAATCATCTATCACATAAATATATGCATATATAAATATTTTCTTTAAGAATGAAAATACTTAGCTCTGAGTATAGTCAAGAGCCAACGATGACGTGAAGAGGGATCTTGTCTCAAATTAAAGTGACTTTATCATGACCAACATCCTGCTTGCCTATCCACTTTTGTATTTTGCCACCATAATTGCATGTTTATGCTACTATCTATTGTCTGTTACCATACTGCGTGCCTGATCTGTGTATAGTGTAATAGTATAGCCTATGTGCCAACTCCTTTTGTATTATGACAAAGGGTCAATATTCTTGAAAACGATAGTAGCAGACAAGAGGGATTTCATGATGCAGCAGTAACTTCCAGTTCATTTTCTACTGGTTATGAATTCTCCCAACATCTTCTGAAACTGTCAATTTGAACCCCTTTTGTCAAAGCAGAAGATAACCCAGAAGCAAGTTTTACTAGACAACTTGGGATCTATGAGAAATTAGATCAAATGCTTTGAAATAATGAAAGGGAATAATCATATCAAGAAGAAACACTAAAACAGGTGATCACATAAACCAACGATGGAGGCAATTAGACACAAAAATATAAAGCTTCTTTAACAATATTAGGATAAAAATACTCATCTTATTGAAGCAGTGTACTATGAGTAGCAGGCATAATCTGCGAGCTTCGCCGCACTCGGATAAAGGCGGTGCCTGATAGGAGTAGCAGTGGTTGACGTAAAGAGAAAACCAAACTTCGGCCGATGCTAGTTTCTGCCAATTCCGGCGCCGGCGGTCCTCGTTCCGACGGTGTGTGTGTTTTTTTTTTTTCAGCGCAGCAGTTGCCGGATTCAGTATCAGCTGTCTGATCATCATCGTCATAGCAGAAAGAGACGCCGGTGCAGTCGCAACTTGCGAAGTATCATAAGGTCCTTGATCGTCATGTTGTTGGTCCCGTTGGAAAGCCACTAAGATGGAGGATCGTCCAGTCAAAGCCGATCGTCCACCACCAGCAAGAGGCAGCCGGATCGCCTCCAACGAAGTCGCGATTGCGGAGAACGCATCCGATGGCCGATTTGTCTCCCGAAGGTCGCAAACGAGAGCGGCAGAGGTGGGGAGTCCCGTGAGATGGTCAGAAACACCATCGCCGGCGAGAGAATGGCCGGTCTCCGTCGAGATTAGTCGTGATCGGCGCGAACTCCGAGTTCTCAAACCGCGGCCGATCATCACTCCGATGGTCCGGATGAGTAGCTGCTGTGCTGGGGATGATTTCTACCGGTCTGTAATCTTCATCGCCAACAGTTTGCGTTTCTCAAACCGCGACCCAGGCTTCGACTTTGGATGCTGTTTCGACATCGGTGTCGCTCCAAGCCAGCGATGAGGATTCTCGAAGGTATAATATCGTCGCCAACACCCAGGAAAAAATTTACGCCAAGTAGATGTAGAGAGCAAAGCACTAATAACGTGTTGTAATAAGTCTATTAGCTCAAACATATTGACCAATAAAAATTTAGATAAAGAAGATAGAGAAGATATGAAGAACACAATAAGCCAGAGAAACCTCTCATCCTGTTATTTCAATATCTGAATATATATACATGTACAATCATTAAGTATTATACTAAATGACATAACTGTTACATATGTTACAAATCAACAATAATATCCATAATGAATGAGATATTTATAACAGTTAGAAGTTTTTATTATGATGGATTTTGTAGTAGGTAAATTAATTGATTATAGATTGTCACATATTCGTCCTGGTTGGTAAAATAGTTAGCATATCAGTCAATTTTGACCACAATTAGATGTTCAATGGTTATGTTGTGGAACCGTGTCCACCTTGCAAGGTGGACACGGTTCTATGTTCGTAATTACTGAACTATATATTCATAATTATAAAGTTATATATTTATAATTTTTGAACTTCATATTCATAATTATTGAACTCTATATTCACAATTACAAAACACTATGTGTTCATAATTACTAAACTATATTTTCATAATTATAAAGCTATATATTCATAATTTTTGAACTTCATATTCACAATTATTGAATCTCTATATTCATAATTACACAACTATATGTTCATAATTACGTTCACAACTCTATATTCATAATTATAGAACTATATGTTCATAATTTTTGAACTATAAATTCATAATTATGAACAGTTTTGGAACCGTGTCCACCTTGCAAGGTGGACACAGTTCCACAGCATAATTTGCCTTAGTTGTTTGACTTGGTTAAACCATCAATATGAGTATTTGATTAATTACCTGTTTGTAACAACTTATTGCTCCAAAATGCTAAAATTCAAAAAACTACTTGAAGTAGTTTTTTCAATCAGTTTTTGAGAAATCATTTTGCATGTAATCAACTATCAGCTAACGGCTAATTTACCAAACACTTTTCTATAATCAGCTAATGCTATCAATTAGTTAAACTCACTAACCCAATTAGCTAACAAGTAACAACTATCAACTAACAGCTATTTACCAAACACCCTCATTATGTTTGTAGTGTTATTGTCTAATACAGCACTTTGTGGCTAGGTTGGTACCGCTAATGCCCTTTGAAAGTGCACTTGTTATACAGTGGACCATAGTCCACACCAGTGGCGGAGCCACATTTAAGGTGCAGGGGCCTTGCCCCCTCCCCCCTCCCCCCCCCCCCCCCCCCAACTAATTTTTTATTTATTTATTAGTATTGTAGTTTTTTTTGGCCCCCCTCACTAAATATTTGTTATTTTGCCCCCTTCAAGCAAGCTTTTAGGGTAATTTAGTGGATTGCTAATTTGCTATATAGTTAGTTTTTTAATTTGCAAATGAAATACATCGCAATTGTGCTTATTATAATTTATAATAATAAATTGTCATTTTGCTACCAAAATCTTTAAATTTCTGCTACTCTAATCTTTGTCTTTTTTAATTTGCAAATGAAATACATTGCAATTGTGTTTATTATAATAATAAATTGTCATTTTGCTACCAAAATCTTTAAATTTCTACTATTTTAATTTTTATCTTTTTTAATTTGCAAATGAAATACATTAAAATTGTGTTTATTATAATAATAAATTGTCATTTTGGTATCAAAATCTTTAAATTTTTACTACTTTAAATTGATCTTTTCTTTAAAAGAAAGAATTCTGAAAATTCAAAATGAGTAAATTCATTTACAAGTATTGAGCTATTGAATTTTGGAAGGTGTTCCAAATTTTATTATATTTGTAATATAATGATGTATTTTGAAATATGTTAAATAAATATTTATATGTTTTATTATTCCCTCTCAAATTGTGATTGGCCCCCCGCACCAACCAATCCTGGCTCCGCCCCTGGTCTACACATCGATGTTTGGACCATGATCGTTGAATAAAATTGTAGTAAAATTAAAATGATATTTTAGTGTTATTATAATGAAACTAGTGTGTATGGAAAATGAAACTAAAAAACAAAGCACATTATTGTCAAATAAAACTATAGTATAATTAAAATGATACTTTTTTTTGTTTTGAAAAATTAAAATGATACTTTATTATTGATACTAGTTTTTTATGCGCATTGCGCGATTGGGATAATGCCCAATGTTTTTTTTAAAATAAGTACTTTAAAGTATATTAAGGAAAAATTATATTGAAATTGTTCATGCATAGATAATTGAATGTTGAATTTGCGTATTTAAATAGGTAATTCTTCTCCCAAAGGTTAAGTCCCCAACCCCAAGGGCCCCCCACACTCCGACCCGACAGAGCATTGTGGGAAGTTGTAAATCACGGTGACTCAATGGTTCAGCAGACAGGGCCAAATGCTGATACGCACAAGGAATCTGCCCACTTTGGACATAATTCCCGCATTGCCGCCGCCGAGGTTCAAACCTTGGTCTCTTCTCCCAAATACTACCCACTAAACCATTGAGCTAAGCCCGTGCGGGTTAAATAGGTAATTCTAAGTTTACAAATGCAATATAATATAGTCAATATTGATTATAATTGTCAATAAAATAATTGTATAGGTATGGTTGAAACCAAATACGGGACATAAGGGAGAACAAATAAAAATTAGGGCATAAAATATTAAATATATACTAATATTGTTTGAGGAGATTCCGACATTAGGATTTGTGGTTAAGTTCTATTAAGACTTTAATATTAGAATTAGATTAATGGTGTAGTTATAATTCTATATTAGACTTTAATATTAGAATTAGACTAACGGTGAATTAACGGAAAAGTTAAATGGATAATCATATAATTAAGGATAAATTAGAAAATCTTAAAAGAAAAAAAATTAAAACCTGAACAATATGAACCATTCATTTGATTTAATAATTTGGCGGTCATTTTTTCTACCCAATTTTTAATAATTAAATAAATTCGCTGGTCAAATCCGCTAACGCTAACCGCTAACTGCTGATTGTCAAACAACGACATTGCGAGGTAGTTCTCACTTCAATTTGTTGTGTGATTTGAATACTCTCTTTGTCACAAAATCTCTCAAGTAGTTAATATGGTTGGCTTTATTAATTATATTTTTTAATTTTTTCATGGTATTAATAAAATACTTGGTAAATAAATATATAGCATTATTTTATGTTATAACATTGATATTTAATTAGAAAAATAGTTCACAAAAAAAGATAATAGATAATGTAGTGAATATAATCAATTGATGAATTTGAATGTAAAAATTTTTACATTTGAGAAAAATAAAGGCAATATAACTAATGAAAATATTTATTTTAATTAATTTATTGATAATTAATAATTTGTTTTTCACTGAATAAAGACATTGTAAAGACAATGTAGCGAATATAATCAATTAATAAATTTGAATATAAAGAATTTTTATATTGAAGAAAATAAAGACAATATAACTAATAAAATTATTTATCTTATCTAATTTATTGATAATGAATAAATTTTTTTTTGGAATAAAGACATTGTGGACACATAATTCTAAATTAAAAAAATGCATATGTATTATTTTTTGTTGTAACTACTAAATTATTATTTATATATATATATATATAAATTTATAAGAGTAAAATAGAGTACTAATTATGCCAACTTTGATTGGGATGAGGTTCGAACCTAAGACCTTTTTTTATTGAAATCAATGAGTAAGTTAACGGTGAACTAACGGCAATTCTTAAAATTTTAACGGAATTAGTAACGGTGTGTGGGTATTTTAGGAAATTTTAGTGTAAAATTTAAATCTGATCAATCTTTAAATCAATCTGAGCCATTCATTTGATTAAAATCTGTGACCGCCATTTTTTCTACCCATTATAGGCCTAACTCTCTTGGGCTCTTATTAGTATAGTAGATATAGTAGATAATGAAACTAGTGTGCGTGAAAAATGAAATTAAAATCTAGAGTAATACAATGACATATATGATCAAATGACCTGAAGTGCAACTAAAATAATACTTCAACATTATTATAATTAAACTAGTGTGTGGAAAATGAAAAAAAAAAAATAGAGTTTATGCAATAATATATATTATCAAATGAAACTATAGTAGAATTAAAATGATACTTTAGTATTGCTATAATGAAACTAGTGTGGCAGGAAATGAAACTAAAAAAATTAACAATATTGTCAAATAAAACTAAAGTGTAATTTTTTTTTTTTTTTTTACAACAAACTAAAGTGTAATTAAAATGAGAGTTAATACCCAAAATAGTCCCTCGACTATGCCATAATTATCAATTTGGTCCTCAACTACCATTTTTACCCAATTAAGTCCTCAACTATGTAATTTTTACTCAATTAAGTCCTCAACTATACAATGATTACCCAATTTAGTCCTCAACTATACAATTCTTACCCAATTTAGTCCTCTGTATTAATTTGACTGTTTGTTGACTGTCAAAAGTCGGGATAAAATTATAATTTTACAAGATTTCTCCTTCCTCTCCATTTAGCAGCGTCAAACCATGAATCTACAGTACATAAATTATACTGTGCATTTATCAAATTATGAATCTACAGTACATAAATTATGAATGTGCAGTATAGAAATTATGAATCTACATTATAAATTTTATGAATCTATAGTATAAAAATTATGAACTTACATTATAAAAATTATGAATCTACAGTAAAAATTATGAATGTACAGTATAGAAATTATTAATTTACAGTACAGAAATTATGAATATACGGTATAAAAATTATGAATCTACATTATAAATTGTATGAATCTACAGTATAAAAATTATAAATGTAAAGTCCACCAATCACCATACACATGGTGAAAATGGGTCCAGGGCATACACATGGTGAAAATGGGTCCAGGGCATAACGCTGCTATAAATAAGCTACAGATTGCATTATGGAACAAAGTAAAAGTACAAGAAAGAAGCCTTCAATACCACAATCCAATGAAGTCCACTGGGCCTTGCACTACAGAGCATGGCCCAAAGAACTAATTAAGCAACAAAGTAGGCAAATTATCGCAAATTATGGTGTGCAACCGAATGCACCATGCGCATGGTGTATTCGATGCAAAACGATATCATTTTAATTAAAAATCGCGCGTCCCACTTAAAGAAGAAATCAAGTTCGATTTTCGGCAATAGCATTTTTATATAACCATTAATTCATAACTATATATCCACAAATTCATAACTATATATCCACAGTGAACGAATGAAGTAAAAATCCACAATGAATGAACTAAATATCCACAGTGAATGAATGAAGTAAATATCTACAATGAACAAACTAAATATCCAAAATAAATGAACTAAATATCCACAAATTCATAACTATATATCCACAGTGAATGAATGAAGTAAATATCTACAATGAATGAACTAAATATCCATAATGAATGAACTAAATATCCATAAATTCATAACTATATATTCACAAATTCATAACTATATATCCAGAAATTCATAACTATATATCTATAATAATGCTATTGCCGAGAATCGAGCCTGAATTTTTTTTTTTTTAAGTGGGACGCGCGTTTTTAGTCAAAACGACGTCGTTTTGCATCGTATGCACCATGTGCATGGTGCATTAGGTTGCACATCATAACTATTGGCAAATTATTGTGTGGACCATGGGTCCACACAATGTTATTTGGACCATAACAAAAAATACATTTTTAATATACTAAATGTATATTATTTTTGTACTGAATGTACATTATATAATATAATGTACACTCAAAACAAAAATAATGTACATCCCCTAAATACAATGTACATTATTTTTGTAGTGAATGTACATTATTTTACAGTAGACAAAATATGGTCCACACAATAATGATTGAACAAAGTAAGCAATCGTTATACCGTGCACCAGGGCGCACATAGCAATGTGCGCCCTGCGCCTCCTAAAACGACGTCGTTTTGTATTCTGTTATAAAATTATGTGGTTTTAGGTATAAAATTCTGTACATTCGAAATAGGGGATTTTTGTCTTTTTAAAAAAAATTATCTGTTTTCAGGTATAAAATTATGTGTTTTCAGATACAAAATTATGTGTTTTTTATTATATAATTATGTACATTCGAAACATGGGGATTTTTAGTTATAAAAATTATGTGTTTTCAAGTATAAAATTATATGTTTTCAGGTATAAAATTATGTGTTTTCGGGTATAAAATTTTGTGTTTTCTATTATACAATTTTGTACATTCGAAACATGATTTTTTTTTTTTAATAACAAACACACAAAAAGATCCGAACGATGTCGTTTGGGGCCAGGGCGCACAAGGCAGTGTGGGCCCTGGTGCACGGTATAATTTGCCCAAAGTAAGAGGTAAAGTAGGCATAGGGGATCTAGGGTTAAAGTCCCCAATTGAAAACAAAAAGTAGTATATGCTATTTAATGGGGGAGTGGCCCATGATTAGAAAAGTGAAGTATAACAAACAATGTGATTTTACCTCATTATATTTACATTTGTCTAGAGATAGAGAGGAGGCTTATCTTTGTTGTTTTTGGAAGTTAACTGCCGTATTTGTTCGGTAAGCTATTCCATGTGATCCCATGATATCCATGTTGCTCTTAGGCACTATATCTTGTAACTGAGAAATCTCTGGCATCATCATATCAGAAGGAGAAAGTGAAATAGGAGGCAACTCTTGAGCTCCAACCAGTGGGCTTATATTTGAGAATTGATCACCGGCGAAATTTCCGGCCACCGGCGCCGCCCAAGCCATGGTGCTAAGGAGGGAACACGTCTACGGTGGCACACTGTACATCACCAGAGCCACCGTCGGCGGCCAGGACCGAAATATATTCATCGATTGCCGGTCTCTCTGATTTTGCGTGAACCAGCGGGTGGCTGTGTTTTTTTTTTTTTTTTTTTTTAATTATTATATATATAATATATTTTTAATTTAATATATAAATAAATAAAATTTATAAAAATAAAAAAAATAAATAATATTTTAAAAAGACACATGTCGACCATGGGAAGGCTTAACCTGGATGAAATGCGATTCTATTCCAATTCAGTTACAGAGAGAGACTAATGCTATAGATAAATGCTACACGTAAAAGTCTCCTGACTAATAGACTATTCTAAGCTGACTAGTCTAACACCACATATTAAATACTTTATTACAAGAGGAATATATTCATAATAGTAAACATATTATTCACACACCCCCTCAAGCACAAGGTGGGTGTGCTACCACATTGAGCTTGTCACGAAGAAGCTGGAAGCGCGGGCCCGGGAGTGGCTTGGTGAAAATTTCTGCAAGTTGATCTTTAGTAGACACAAAATTGACAACAAAATCCCCAGATGCGACTTTGTCTCGTACGAAATGATAATCTATTTCCACATGTTTTGTTCGAGCATGAAAAACTGGATTAGCACAGAGATACGTGGCGCCCAGATTATCACACCACAGAGTAGACGGCTGACCAGAGTGTAAGCCCAGTTCTTGTAAAAGGGACACCACCCACGTAACCTCTGCGGATACATCTGCAAGAGCTTTATACTCTGCTTCAGTAGACGATCTAGCAACTGTACGCTGTTTTCTGGATAACCACGAGATGAGGTTGGTACCAAGGAACACAGCATAACCACTTGTACTCTTTCGGTCAACTGGACACCCAGCCCAATCGGAATCTGAGAAGGCATGCAGAGCAGTCGATGTAGACGGAGATAAACGCAAACCATAGTCTTGAGTACCTTTAACATAACGGAGAACTCGCTTCAGAAGACCCCAGTGATCGTCTGTCGGTGAGTGCATGAACTGACACAGCCTATTAACTGCATACGATAAGTCGGGCCGTGTGATTGTTAAATATTGCAAAGCCCCCACAATACGACGATACTGAGTCGGATTTTCATACGGTTGATCAGAAGGGGAAACAGCTTGAGTGACCGCGGCAGGTGTGACTAATGACTTACAATCACTCATACCTGCACGTGTGAGAATATCACCCATGTAACGACGTTGTGATAGTAGCAATCCCCCATCTACCTTCACCGTTTCAATACCCAAGAAGAATCCAGGTGTCCCCAAGTCTCGAATCTTAAATGTCGTGGACAATTGCTTGAGAAGAGTGTCAATAAGTGCAGAATCATTTCCCAGCATGATTATATCATCCACATACACTAATAAAAAAATCCGAGATGTACCAGTGGTATAGTAAAAAAGCGAGACATCCGTCTTGGATGCTAAAAATCCTGTAGAGAGTAAGAAGTCATGCAACCTCTTGAACCAGGCCCGAGGTGCCTGTTTGAGGCCATAAAGAGAGCGCTGTAGATGGCAAACGTGGTCCGGGTGCGTGGGATCTTCATACCCAGGTGGCTGCTTCATGTAGACAGTTTCAGCTAGATGTCCATTCAGGAATGCATTATGAACATCAAGGTGCCGTAAAGTCCAGTTATATGACACAGCAAGAGAAAACAACAATCGTACTGTAGTCGGTTTAACAACGGGACTGAAAGTGTCGAAAAAATCTTCACCGGCGACCTGATTAAACCCCTTGGCCACAAGCCTCGCTTTATATCTCTCAACGGACCCATCTGCATTGCGTTTAGTTCTAAATACCCATTTGCACCCAATTATGTTCATATGTGATTCTACTGGGACTAGCTGCCAAGTATTGTTGTGAAGGAGTGCATTAAACTCCTGGTCCATGGCATCACGCCAATGCGGGTGCCCAACGGCTTGAGAGTAGCAGGTTGGGTCTACAGTTGCATTTAGAGCGTGAAATTCTTCATCCGTACCCTGCGTCATATGTCGAAGGCGCATAGTGAGTGGCACGGGTGGAGCCGGTGGCTTTCTCCGACGTCCCCTCGCCGGTGGTCTAATAGCCAAGGGCGCGGGTTCACTAGCCAAGGGTGCGGGTTCACTAGCCAAGGGTATGGGTTCCGGTGCAACCACAACCGGTGATATAGATTGCGTTACTAAGGGGCCAGCTGCCCAAGGTGTAATGGCTGCAACTTGTTGCGGTGTGTGCTGCACAACTCTATCTGAAAAAGGAAAGGTAGTTTCGTCAAACCGGACATGACGACAGATATATCCCCTATAGGACGGTGGGTAACCTAAGAAGACACAGGGCGCGGAGCAATACTCTATCTTGTGGCGATTATAAGGCCGTAGATAGGGATAGCACCGGCACCCGAATACTCGTAAAAAGGAGTATGGGGGAGATATATTAAAGAGACGTGAGTATGGACTCTGGAACTGTAGAACGGCAGACGGCATGTAGTTGATTAAAGTGGTGGCAGTTTCAAAAGCATAGTCCCAGTACTGTAGAGGGACTTTACTTTCAGCGAGTAGAGCTAACCCCGTTTCAACTATGTGTCTATTCCGGCGCTCTACCCTTCCGTTCTGTTCGTGCGTGTAAGCACATGACTGTCTATGGTTTACACCTAGGGATTGAAAAGTGTTATGTAATTTGCGATATTCGCCCCCCAGGTCGGATTGAATGGATTTGATAGAACGCGAGAATTGTCATTCTACCATGACTCGAAACGACTCAAAACATTTGTATACATCCGTCTTTACCCGTAAAGGATAAAACCAGGTAAAGCGGGAATAATCGTCTACAAATAGGAGAAAATACCGAAAGCCAGTACTAGAAATAACGGGAGATGGTCCCCAAACATCTGTGTAAAGTAACTCTAATACATTTGCACTACTAGAATTGACCCTATCTAACGGGAATCGACAAGATTTCCCGAGATGACATGCGGTGCAAACGCCAACTGCTTTGGATTTATTGTCAACCGGACACGTTTGGAGAATTTTATTTAGGACTCGATTATGTGGGTAGCCAAGTCTGCGGTGCCACATGTCCGGAGTGGTTAGGGAACTTATGAATGCGAAACGTGACTGAGACAGCGGAAGTGTGTATAGCCCTCCAGAAGTGGGCCCTTTAAGCAGGGTTGCCCGGGTTATTGAATCCTTCACAAAAAAGCAATCTTTGTGAAATTCAAAGAATACATTATTTTCGTTAGTGAATCTTTGAACTGAAAGTAATGGAACAGATAATTCGGGAACATGTAATATATTAGACAATTTAAGAGGCTTAGACACGGATGGAATAGATGAAGAACCAACGCGTGAAATAATCAAACATGTGCCATTACCGACTCTTAGAACGTCATTCCCATTGTACTCATCAGATTGAGACATCATTGACGCGTCGGGCGTGGCATGAGCGGATGCTCCCGTATCCGGGAACCAATTACCTACTGCACTTGTTGCGGATTCATCTCCAGCGACCGTGAGATTGGCCTGGGCAGGCGGTGGCGGAGTTGTAACGCTTGAAGCAGTGTACGGCAGTGTGGCCGAGAGCCCGACAAATCTGGCACTTCGGCGGATTTCCACGACCATTGCGGCCGCCACGCCCATTCCCGCCACGACCTCCTCGGCCGCGTCCACCACGGGAATTGCCTTCGCCACTGCCGCGTCTGCCACGAGCAGTGTACAGACCGGAATGCGCGACTCCAGAGGCTGGCGCCGGGTAATCATCCGCAAGTATGAACTCTTGCGCCTGTAAAAAATCCGAGAGCTGCAGGATGGTGATAGGATTAAGTGAAACTGTTAACGAGGCCGCCATGGCCCTGAACTCCGGGCGTAGACCCCGGAAAACGAACAAATTATGTTCGTTTAATGATACCGGCCGGCCAGCGAGCGCGAGGTCTTCGACTAGAAGCTGCGCACGGCCTAGGAACTCTGCCGGTGAGCTGTTGCCCTGACGCAACGATTGGAACTGCCCAAGTAAATTCAGGCAACGCGCACGAGTCGACGAACCGAGAGCGGCAGTGATGGACTGCCAGACGTCACGCGACGTGTTCCTACCAACAGCCAAGTACATCACCTCTTCTGATAGGGATGAAATCAGAAGAGAGAGAATGGACTGATCTTGCTGTGTCCACAACCTGTACGCTGGATTTGCCTGAGGTACGGTCGTGGTAGCGCCGGAGGCGTCGGATGGCGGAGAGTCGATCGTCGGTGGTGGGCAGGGGGTTTCTCCGTCTACGTAACCAAGCAGACCCTGTCCCCGGAGAAAGGGCACGAGCTGTGTGCGCCAAAAGAGGAAATTTCGGGAGGTGAGTTTGATGGAGACGAAGTGGTGGGCTGTAGCTAGGGTGTTTGTAGTGGTGGCCGACGGTGGTGCGCCGGCGGACACAGTCCTCTCAGAGGAGTTTGTCGACATCGGAGGTGGAAAAAAAGGTGGTCGACGGTTGGGAGAGGATCGTCGATAGGGAGGGAGAGAAAAGTGGAGGATCTAACCTATGGCTTAGCTGATACCAGATGAAATGCGATTCTATTCCAATTCAGTTACAGAGAGAGACTAATGCTATAGATAAATGCTACACGTAAAAGTCACCACATATTAAATACTTTATTACAAGAGGAATATATTCATAATAGTAAACATATTATTCACAACCTGTTAAACTT